CATTACTCAGACTTCTAAAGGGATTCTTTGAAGTAAGAAAATCCTTCTGTTATGAGTGGTCAGGCTTGCAGGGAGTGCCCGTTAGCCGAACCCCTCGGTTGCTGCGTCTTCAGTTAGGGCAGTGGGATGGGCGTGGGCTTGACCCTTCCTTGTGATTTCTTATCGTGGATCACAACAATCCAGCTTTGTTCTTCTGAGGTCAGATCGCTAACCTTGCTTTCACTAATTATCATAAAAGCTGTTGCTACTGAGCGTGTTTAATCTGCAGACAGTAGACTTAATAGAGGCATCCTCAGATAGAGCTGTTGCTAGCGTGAGCTTGAGTCCTTTTACTGTACGCGTTTCTCCAGAGGTTAGTATGTGGCTTGCCCTGTTTCCCAGAGCTCAGTAATGGCTGCACAGTACTTCAGATCCAGAGCATGCTTCCCTTTTCGTGGTGTGATCTTTGACCTCACGTGGTGGCCTGGAGGTTGAACTTCAGCATAGCTCACTGTTTGGTCTTCTTGTAGATTCATGGATGTTGAGCAGTATGGGAGTACAGATAGACTTTTTTTTTTTTTTTAAGATTTATTTATTTATTTGAAAGAGTTACAGAGGGGCAGAGGCAGAAGCAGAGATCTTTCCGCTGGTTCGTTCCCCAGATGGCCACAATGGTTGGAGTTGTGCTGATCTGAAGTCTCCTGTGTGGGTGCAGGAGCCCAAGCACCTGGGCCATCCTCTGCTGTTTTCCCAGGCACTTTAGCAGGGAGCTGGATCGGAAGTGGAGCAGCCAGGTCTCTAGCCGGCACCCATATGGGATGCCAGCACTGCAGGCGGTGGCTTTACCCGCTATGCCATAGCGCCAACCTCGCAGATAGGTTTCATGAAGGAAATGGATGTATAAAATAGAAGGGCTTTGAGCAAAGCCTTAGCCAGGAAGAGCAGGCGGTATAGCTGGTGTGTTGACCAGTGCATGTTGTCAGCTGGTGACCAGCAGCTGTCAGTCAAGTGTGTGATTTCTTCTGTTCTTTCCTCAGGTCCAGTTGAACACAAGAGAAGCCTGTCCTGTTACATCTTTTCAGAAACTTTCCTGACTGTGGTACTACAGGGATAATGATTAACAGAGTCAGCTATGCTTAAGTTAATGGCAGTGTCTTAATAAACACATGGCAGCTTTTGTTTGAAAGTAAGTGTGTGTGGTTCTTCTCCCGGCACACAGCATGCACGCGAACACACAGACACAAACAACTTGGGTGCATTTCTTTGAAGACTAAACATGAGAAATTGAAATGCCTGTCTGTGGCCAGACAGAGATGGTCCTGCTTCGCAGTTAGGCCTGGTGGCTTTCCCCCTCTAGCACAGATCTCCCTGCACTTGGGGCCTAGGCTAACAGATACTCTGATGAGCTGTAGAGGTCACCTTACTTGATGTGAGAGGTCACGGGGTGAGTTACTTCAAGTCTCCTACTACTTCAAACCACTGTCATTGTTACATGTGAAACCCTAGTACTCTTGTCCTATGATAATGATTAACCACCCCCCTCCTAGAACTGTTCCCTGAAATGCTCCATTTAGTTTAGGTTCCAAAACTCTTTAATCATAATATAACCTTGCATTAGAGAAGGTCCTGCATTTCTTCAGAAAGACTGATACTGTATCAAGCATTTAAAAAGTATTATAAAAAACAGAAAGTTTAAAGAGATTGCAAAGGTGGGTAATGAAAAGTACCCTGGAGGTCTAAAGCTTTCAACCCACTTCTTGGAGGTAGTTTTTCAAGTGACAAAAAGTGGCTGTGCCCAGTGAATGGTGGGTCCCACTGTGGTGTGTAGGTCCTGCTGTAGTATGTCGAGGAGACAGCATAGGTCATATGTCAAGCAGTGTGGGCCTCCCTGTCACGTGTCTGGCTGACAGTGCTAGATCCCACTGTAGTTGTCAAGCAGACAACATAGGTACTGCTGTAGTATATTTAGCAAACTGCAGGGTGTCTTGGTGTCTTCCAGAGCCTTCCTGCTCTGTTGGATGTGACCCAGAACTATCTGGTAAGTATGGGGTGTGTTGACATCCCAACAACTTTTTAATTTATATATTGAAATTTATTTGAAGTGGAGAGAGAACTCCTATCTGCTGATTCACTTTCCAAATGCTGGAAACAGCCATGCCTGGACCAGGCTAAAGCCAGGAGCCTGGAGCTCAATCCAGGCCTCCTTTGTGAGTGACAGGGACCTAGCGTGAGCATTTGCAGGAAGCTGGAATTGAGAGCAGAGCCAGGAGTTGAACCCAGGTACTTCGTAATGGGATGCGGGCATCCCAAGCACTGCGCTACTACTCGGTGGCTGCTACCTCCCGCCCAGCATCTTTTCCCTTTCCCTTTCCCTTTCCCTTTCCGTTCCTTCCTTCCTTCCGAGTTTAAAGGAGAGGCGGAGAGAAAGAGGTCTTCCATCCGCTGGTTCATTCTCCAGTTGGCTGCAACAGCTGGAGCCATGCTGATCTGAGGCCAGGAACCAGGAGCTTCTTCTGGGTCTCCCATGTGGGTGCAGGGGCCCAAGGACTTGGGCCATCTACTGCTTTCCCAGGCCATAGCAGAGAGCTGGATTGGAACTGGAACAGCCAAGACTGGAACTGGCGCCCATATGGCATGTAGTTGGCATGCTGGCACTGCAGGTTGTGGCTTTACCCACTATGCTATAGCGCTGGCACCATGCTATCATCTTTCTAAAAGGTTTCCTATTAAGATAGACTGTTGCTGTCTAATTATAGAGATACTTTCTCTGCCCTGTTTTTCAGCAAGATCCGTAGCAAATTGTATTACTGCTAAAACTTAAAATTCCTGTAGCCATTTGGCTTGTTAGTGCTGTTTCTCTTTCAAGTCGCTAGAGGGCAATGTTGGATTATGTGAGCAGCTGCAGGCCAGCTTTCTGTAGCCTGTTACCTTGTCTGGCTTCAGCTAAATCAGTTTGTTTCAGAAATGGACACCAGACCTTACTTATGCTTATTTTGCATATGGTTTCCAGTTCCCAGGAGTGTGAAGATTTACAGGAATTTGTCGTTCTGGAGAAAATGATGGGAGCAGTTTAAGTTTTAACTATACTTTGTTAAAATCTCTACATCATTTTTATATTCTGCTAGGAGCAGAGAATTTTCAGTTCTAACCCCCAGGGTAGACAGATGTGCTGTTTGTTCCACAGAGGGAGATGCTACCAATTCTATATTTGTCTTTTAATAGTATTTCCCTCTCAGTGGAAGGGACTGGAGTCAGTTTCTCATTGCCTCTCCATATAGTCAGTGCCAGCTAATGCTTCAAGGACGTGAGAGCCACGACAGGCACTCTGCACAATTCTGTATTTGCAGTTTCTCCGGGAGCACAAGTGTGGCCCTGACGCCTGGCTGGGGGACCATCTTGAGCTGTGAGGTGGTGTTTTGCCATCCAGAACCACGTGGGATGATCTAGGATCTACTTGGAATGATGGAGAAGTTGGAATCTTTGATGTGTCTTGTTTGTCTCTTCCCCATTGCTAGTAATACGCAGTGAATAATTATCAGCCATTCCATAGAACTTTGGTTGTCCTTCTTCCAGTGGAAGAAATCAAGGTCATGAAAGAAAGTTACTGGCTGGTGCCGCGGCTCACTAGGCTAATCCTCCGCCTGTGGCACCAGCACACCGGGTTCTAGTCCTGGTCGGGGCGCTGGATTCTGTCCCGGTTGCTCTTCCTGTCCAGCTCTGCTGTGGCCCAGGAGTGCAGTGGAGGATGGCCCAAGTCCTTGGGCCCTGCACCTGCATGGGAGACCAGGAGTAGCACCTGGCTCCTGGCTTCGGATCAGCGCAGTGCGCCGGTCGTAGCGGCCATTTGGGGGTGAACCAACGGAAGGAAGACCTTTCTCTCTGTCTCTCACTGTCCACTCTGCCTGTCCAAAAAAAAAAAAAAAAAAAAATTTACTAGTTCCTTGGGGAAAGCATTGCACTCCCTCTCCCAACTTACTGCCACATTCTTCACATGTATTTTAACATTTTTTTCCTGCTAGTATTTTTTTCAACTTTTGTCTCCAACATTTAGTTAATGCTTGTGCCATATAATAGATATATAACTGTGAGCTTTTAAAAGAATCTAGGGGATGACACTGTGGCACTGGCTTTCTGTATGGGAGCTTTGGTTTGAGTCCTGGCCTTTCCACATCCGACCCAGCTGCCTGCTACGTGTTGCCTGGGAAGGCAGCTAGTGGTGGCCCAAGTACTTCGACCCCTGTCACCCACATGGGAGACCAAGTTCCAGACTCCTGGCTTCAGTCTGGCCCAGCCCTGCAATTGTGGGCCATTTTGGAGGTAGGGGCATGAACCAGCCAATGGAATATCTCTGTCTTTCCCTCTCTGTCATTCTGCCTTTCAAATAAATTTTTAATCTGATTTGATTACAGATAGAACAAAGGTTACATATAGGTTAATGGCTAAGGGCACATTTTCTGAGTTCCAAATGAAGATCTGTGGGCTCACTGGAGACGTGGGAATTGTGTGCTGCTCTCAGATGTGAGAGACTGTCTTGCAGGTGGAATGTGTGAATGCAGAGATGATGGAACCTTTAGGTGTTTTCGTCGTTGACACAGCGGGCAGCTCAGAACACCTGCGGACTGAGACAGTTTGGGGTTAAGCTGTAGAGAGGAGCTGAAGAGTGAACGTGGAAGCCTAGGCACAGACGGACTGTGGGTAGCCAGAGACCAAACTCAAGCCCATTTATAAAACAGATGCTGAGTTGAAAATAGCCCGTGTCTGGGAAACACCTGTACTGTTTTCACCGGCCGGTAGGTGGCGCTCGCGTTCGTTCCCTCGTTCCTGGGGAAACGGCGTTCCCGCTCAAACCCTGGCGTCTTCTGTGGCCCTCAGGGCGGCGGATGTCGGGCGCGACTTCCCGGCGCTGCCGGAGAGGGAAGCGCTTAGTAGGCGCCGATGACCAGGCGGACTTGTGGCCGCCGGCGAAGGGAAACGGGAAGGCCTGGTACCTGGGGAGACCCGACACGGGGCGCAGCGCCTCGAGCTGAGGCTGAAGCGCGCGGGCCGCCGAGCGGGTGGCGCCTCTCCGCGAGGCCCGCGTCTCTGCATTCCTGTCTTCACCCCCGGTGCCTCCCGGCCTGGGTGCCCGCGAGCGCCGCAGGGTCTCCTCAGACGTGTGGCCCGGGGCAGGCGCGGAGCCAGCACCTCCTGGGGCTTCCATGATGGTCGCTGTGCTGTCGACTCCAACAGCGGCTGGCCGGCGCTAGGCTCCGCGGGCCGGGCAGGGCGCAGCAGGCAGGGCCGCAGCCCTGGTTTTTTAAACCTGGAGACCCTCTGCTCCCTGATGGTGGAAGTGCCCTGCCAAGGTGACACGATTTGTTCCTGTCAGACCTGCACTTGGGAGCCGGGCCTTTTTTTTTTTTTTTTTTTTAAAGATTTATTTATTTGAAAGAGTGGACACAGAGGGGACAGAGAGAGACAGAGATCTTCCATCTATGGGTCCACTCTCCAAATGGCCGCAACGGTCAGGACTGGGCCAGGCAGAAGCCAGGAGCCAGGAGCTCCATCTGGGTCTCCACCACGTGGGTGGCAGGGGCCCAGGCCCTGAGGTCATCTGCTGCTGCTTTCCCACGTGCATCAGCAGGGAGCTGGATCAGCAGCGGGACTTGAACCAGTGTTCCAGTGTGGGATGTTGGCATTGCAAGCGCGGCTTAACCTGCTGCGCCACAGCGCTGGCCCTGGGGATCCAGGTGATGTGCACGGTAAAGCTTGTTCTACTCCAGTGCCCTTTGCTCTCCAGGCCTTTTGTGGGGCCCTCCTGGGGCTGCCTCTTAACCCCCAGAGAGTAAGAAAGGCCTGGAGTCTGGGCTCCAAATAGCCTCGTCTTTTCTCCTCGGCAAACAGAGGGCTGTGTTGGGCAGCCCCCAAACTTGCAGGAGCTCTCGGGTCTCTGGATGTCTCTCAGGGATAGGCTGGGCGTGGAGGGAGGGTACAGCGCCCTCTCCTGCCAGGTCCCCGAGCCTGTCCTATAGTGACAGTGTGCAGTCTACACCCTGGAATCTCCTTACCCCGCTCAGTCTACTCGGAGGTGGCCCTGAAGCCCCACGCCTGCTTTGCTTGTGAAGGAGCTGCTTCTAGGTAGCGCTTGGTCCAAGGTGTCCGGCGTGTAACAAATCTTCCCAGGCAGACGAATCAATCAATTCACAGGCTTTTATTGGGGTTCCGCTCCCAGGCATGGTTCACCGGTCCCAACAGATCAACAGAGCGGGGGCCGGAGAAGTCGCGCGTCAGAGATTGGGAGGGCTCCTTTTATAGATTCAGGACATGGGGGTTAAAGGTTGAGGCGGGTCTGATCCTCATTGGTTGTCCTTTAGGCACCTGCGGGGACCTTGACAAGGACTTTTCTTCCCCGAAAGTATAGGCCTTCCCTCCTTGCGGATCCCAAAGCTACCACTTGGTACCTGCTGTGTAGCATCCGTTGTCCAGATTTTGTTGTGGACAGGGCCTCTCTGTAGCCAGGCCTCTGGGAGGCACATCAGAGGCCCAGAACCCGGAGTCACTCTGGGTTTAATGCCAGCCTTCACTTGGGAAAAGCAAACTCTGCACGGCTCAGTTTCTTTGCCTGGAGAAGAGGGACAACAGTAAAGGCCCTTTGGTTGGACTGATGGAGGCTTTAGAGGTGCACCTGTCTGTAAGGCATGTGGCCCCTGCCTGGCGCACGGAGCAAGCATTCAGTGAAAGCCAGTGCTTATTATTTGCTCATCTGATCCTTACTGCAGCACTGGGATGCGGGCAGGGCAGGTGCTATTAACCCTTTTATGCCCCTGGGGAGACTGGGTTTCAGAAATGTTAAATGACTTGATCTGAGGTCGCAAAGCCGGTAAATGGCAGTCAGGACCCCAGGTAGCGGGGCTCTGCGTCCCGTGCTCTCGGAGCGGCCTCTGAAATGAATGCCGTTTCCCTTGGGGACCTTCCCAAGCGGCTCTTATGTCTGTGAATTCTCTCCCCTTCCAGCCGCTCCTCTGGTCAGAATCCCGCCTGGTGCTTGTCTCTAGAAACCTGAGAGTCAAACCTCTGTCTGTTGCTGTGAGTTCAGGATGCAGGGCCCTCTGGGGGACTCAGGAAGACGCTGCCATTTGCTGCAAGGCAGGCAGGGTGCGGCCCACGCGCGAGTGCTCGAGCCTTGACCGGGAGTCCCTCCAACTTGAAATGAAAACCTGTCATATGTTTATGCAACTGAAAAGAAATCCAGAATGATTTAATTTGATGACAGGTATCGTAAGATGTAAGAGAAGCTACTGAAAGGTGCCTAATGCATTTTTACACCACTGCACTGTGTACGAAGGATAACGTCTCGTGCAAGGCTGGAGCTGCTTGCTGGTTTGTTTTTTTTTTTTTTTAATTTTTTTTAATAGAGTTAGTGAGAGAGAGAGAGAGACAGAAAGGTCTTTCCTTTGTTGGCTCACCCCCCAAATGGCCGCTATGGCCAGTGCTGCACCAATCCGAACCAGGAGCCAGGTGCTTCCTCCTGGTCTCCCAAGCGGGTGCAGGGGCCCAAGCACTTGGGCCATCCTCCACTGCCCTCCTGGGCCACAGCAGAGAGCTGGACCAGAAGAGGAGCAACCGGGGCTAGAACCTGGTGCCCATATAGGATGCCAGTGCCGCAGGCGGAGGATTAACCAAGTGAGCCTTGGCGCCGGCCCCAGAGCTGCTTGCTGTTATATGTTATCAAGGACATTTCATTTTGTTCAGTGAAGCATTGAGTTTCGTCTTCTCTGCCGTCTGATGGCGGCCGGTGGTCATCAGTGCTTCCTCACTCTCTCACCTCTGGTATACGCATTTCTGAAGTGAAGTTCTCTTTCATTGATTGGCTGGGGGACTCTTGGCACATAGCCGAGCCTCTCAGAGCCTCAGCTGTCACATCTGAATTGATTATAACTGTCTTACGGACAGGGGCAAAGGGTTCAAGGAGATGGTGTGTGTGAAGGGTGTTGCATAGCTGTCGCGGACAGTTGGTGGCTTGGTGGCCAGCCGGAGGTCACCTTCGAGACCTTGTGTGTCTGTAGCCCTTCAACTTAGCCATCATAGTTTCAGTCATGATGTCATCTGCTGCTGAACCTGTGAGGCACCCAGGCCCAGTGTTCATTAGAAAGGTATTCAGGTAGGGCCACATCACCTTACAAAACCTTTGTCAACTCTACATTGAAGTCTCTCATGTATTCTACCTTTTGTTTTTGTTTGTTTGTTTAAAGATTTATTTATTTATTTGAAAGGCAGAGTCACAGAGAGGTAGAGGCAGAGAAAGTTAGAGGAGAGATCTTCCATCCACTGGTTCACTCCCCAAGTGGCTGCAATGGCTGGAGCTTCTTCCAGGTCTCCCATGCAGGTGCAGGGCCCAAGCACTTGGGCCATCTTCTACTGCTTTTCCAGGCCACAGCAGAGAGCTGGATCAGAAGAGGAGCAGCTGGGACTAGAACTGGCGCCCTTATAGGATGCCTGTGCTTTAGGCCAGGCTGTTAACCCGCTGCACCATAGCGCCAGTCCCATGTACGCTACCTTTACTTAAGCATACCTTAAATTTTTTAACAGAAGAATCAGATACAAAACCCCACACATAACAAATGTGTGGCTTGCTGATTGGTTAGAAGGCAAAACCCACCCAAGTCAGAAAATAGCCCTTTTGTCACCTATCCCAGAACCCTGCCCCATGCACCGTTGGAATCCAATGCTGTCTCTTTTCCTATAAGTAACCTTTTAGAGTTTTCATTCCCTTGCTTTTTAAAGCTTTTCTTTTAAATCCAAATGTGCATCCTGTAGTGCAATAGTTTAGTATTACTCATTTAAAAATGTGATATTTTTGAGGAGTCAGTCTGTATATTCCTCCTCCATCTCTCTTTTTTCTTATCATTTCTGTTGAAGAATTCAAGCCGATCGACATGTGGAGTTTCCCAGTCTGAGTTTGCTGAAAGCATACCTCTGGTGTAGCTCAGCTTGGCCCTCAGGCCTTTGTATTTTCTACACATTGCCAGGTAGATCAGAGAATGGACCAGAACTCAGGTAAAGTCTCAGGCAAGACCATTGGTGGTGTTGGGCATGACTTCAGCAGGTGCATCATGGGCTCTCTTTTTACTGTGTTAGTGTCCATTTGTATTTAAGGTCACTGAGGGGTGCAGGATGGTGACATTCTACCTTTTCATTTTCACTTATTAGTTGGAATATTTTTAAAAAAGGGATACCTACCTTCATTTATCGTTTGGTTGCTCAGTAATACAGTTCATATGGGAAAGGCAGGACAAATGCTATATACTTCCCTTTTTTGTTTTTAAAGATTTATTTATTTGAAAGTCAGAGCTACAGAGCTAGGCAGAGAGAGAGATCTTCTGTCTGCTGGTTCACTCCCCAGATGGCTGCATTGGCTGGGGTTTGGCCAGGCTGAAGCCAGGAACCAGGAGCTTTATCTAGGTCTCCTATGTGGGTGCAGAGGCCCAAGCACTTGGGACATCCTCCACTGTTTTCCCAGGCCATTAGCTGGGAACTGGATTGGAAGTGGTGCAGCCAGGATTCGACCTGGCACTCACATGGGGTGCTGGCGCTGCAGGTGTCTGTTTCCCTGGCTGTGAAATCTCTTATCCCTGCTGAGGAATGACTTCTGGCAAAGGTGTTTTTTTGGTTTTGTTTTTAAAATAGCTTCCTTCCTTACTATATAGTACATTTTCTCACTATTTGGTATACTATTTGGCAAGATATTCTTGGCTCATATTGTATATTTCTCACTCTGGAATCACTGACTTCTTTGAATGAGAAATATATTTCTTTTTTTTAACTTGTAAGTTTTTAATTTTTAAGATATTTATTTTTTATTTAGAGTTACAGAGAGAGGGAGAAACAGAGAGAGAGTGAGATCTTCCATCCACTGGTTCAGTCCCCAAAAAGCCACAATGGCCAGAACTGGGCCAATCTGAAGCCAGGAGCCAGGCTTTTTCCAGTTCTCTCACGTGGGTGCAGGGGCTCAAGCACTTGGGCCATCTTCTGCTGCTTTCCCAGGTACATTAAAAGGGAGCTGGATTGAAGTGGAGTGGCTGGTACTAGAACTGGCACCCACATGGAATGCTGATGTCACAGGTGGTGGCTTTATGTGCTATGTCACAGTACCAGCCCTGAGCAGTTGTATTCCAAGAGCATACTCTGGCTGCTGGTGATGTTGTTTATATTGATAATGGTCATTATTTCTAGACCTTTTCAGTAGACAGAACTGGGGGTGAGTCGGAGTGGAGATTTGTTGCATGATAACTGGATTTAAACTCTGTAGCTCATTCTCTCATCATGGGAGTATCTCAAATATTTTGTAAACTCCATTTTCTTTTATCATAAAACGTTGCTGGTAAAAGTCTGATAAGAATCTGTATTTCTTTCCCCAATTGAATCAACTGTTCCCATATTCTACATAACCAAAGAATTTTTTCCTTTCTTTAAGTCCAGTAATTTTACTAGCATGTTTTGGTGCTGGTCATTCTAGGTCAGTATCCTCAGGTATGAGGTCTGTTCTTTCCAGATGAAGAATCAAGAGTATTTTTTTTTTAAAGGTTATTTATTTATTTGAAAAGGGGAAAGAGAGAGAGAGACCTTCCTTCTGCCAGTTCACTCCTTAAAAGCGCACAGCAGCTGGCAGTGCTGGGTCAGGTTGGAGTCAAGAACGTAGAACTCCATCTGGGTTCTCGCACATGGGTAGCAGGGGCTCAAGTACTTGAGCCATCACCTGCTA